GTTATTAATCTTCATAAATAGAAATGTTCAAGTTTTTAAAGAAAGTGAGGGGTTTTGGAATATAAATGAAGCAGTAGTGAAGCAAATAACTGAAGCTAAATGGATTTAATTGTACTTTTTTTTTTTTTTTTGGTTCCTCTACCAAGTAACTGTCATGTTATTATTTGCTTTTCATGTGTATTGGAAAGATAAGAGAAAAAAAAAAAAATATATATATATATATATATATATGGTTTTATAAAAAAAAACTATGGCCATGGGAGAAACCAATATCATTTATTTTCATGGGGTCCAAATTCCCTAGGGGCACTCCTACCATCCCTCTATCATAACAAAACATTTTGGTATGCTGTCTGGTAGCTGTTAACCTCTAGCCTTATACATTATTGTGAGGTGACGGTATGCTATCCCCCTGCCTGCCCAGTCTGGCAGGCAGGGGGAATCACGCGGTCGCCGTTGTCTAGGCTACCGTCTCCGGTTCAGGTTTGGTCGCGCCGTCCCCCGCTGGCTCCCTGTTTCGACTACGTGCTGCACTGTAGTCGACCAAAATCCCGGAAGATTTTGAAATCCCCCCCCGGACATTCTTTTAGGTATGAAAACTAGGACATGTCTGGGTAAAAGAGGACGTCTGGTCACCCTACCATATGAACAATTTCATGTTTCAGTGATTGAGTGCTTGTTGCTATGATGCGTCTTTGCTCAGCAGCTTCGCTCGTTATAAACCAACCAATTAGTGCACAGCTCATCTAAATATTCATGAGCATACCAAAGGAAGATAACCTGTCCTTTCATTCTGGGGCTCTTAACCAGGCTTGCATTAGGGCTCATAGAAAAGCAAATATACCATTTTCAGCCCAACTAATGTTACACACCCTATTCAGAGACCTTAAGGACCAGCACCAAATACCCTATAGAATCATTCTATGACCACTTTAACCTTCAATACAGATATGTTTCGATCCAATGAAATGTTGTGATGTGTATGCCGCCAGCCAGAAACATCAGGATGAAGCAGAACAAACATGGCTGCGCTGAAGGATGTACAAGTAGACTTTTAGCTTTTGCTTTTAGCTAGAATACCCTCTACATGTACTTCTTTTTTGCAAAAAAAATCAAGCAGACACAATTTATGCTTATGTAAATGGAATATCATTTAACTTTTCTACTTATTAAAACAAATCAAGAATGTACTACGACTGCTGCAATTGTCTAAAAGCTCGACATGGGAGGCAGGTGCTTACGTTGTGATTTACCCAATCAGCTCGAAGAATTGTACTGAATGTCCCACCTTTTTATAAGCCCTTCCCACAGGAGCCTTTCAGGTGGATATTGTGCAGAATTCAAATTATACTGTATCAATCTGGTTTATGCTAGATTGGCCATTATAGACAGCCTTATGAATTATCTTTGGCTCTTTTTTGCAGGGTTTGTGTCCTGGTTCTTTCAAATATGTCCCTTCCCTATACACCTGAATCAAATAGCTAAACTATCATCCTAGCATCAGTCAGAGACACATCTCAGGACATCGTTCCTCAAGGATTTGATTCCCATCACTTTATGGGCTAAATGACTTGGTTTGATCAGGACTCAGAGTTTATCTGAAATTCTGTATCAGAAATGCTGAGTCCTGATCAAACCAAGTCACGCCTGTGATTAGATATTAATGTATTAAGTAAAGATATTTCCTAAATGTTTGCTTGTGGATCAGAGAAAACTGTTTAGGTAATCCATTGTCAAAACAGCCAAGAGCCTCACTCAGTACTGTATTTGCAATAGATAATTACTCTATTGTATTTGAAAAAGTTGGATAGAAAATAACTTACAGTGCAAAAGCACAAAAGTGCTGGAAAACAAAATGATGAGACCCATTAAATCCTTCAATTTGTCACTGTCTTTAGGCCTTATTTATTCTGACTTTATTTTTTGTGAATTTTGTTCATGTATTGTTAATAACGCCCCTGGTTTGTTCCTTTCAGGTTCCGCGCTTGTTTCTGCTTGTTTATTAGTTATCACAGCAGTAATGTATTAAATGTTTACGTTATGTAATTTGTTTATTTATTGCTTCTACTTAGGGCATTTTCATTTGTGTGAGGGGCAAGTTAAAGTTTCTTTTTTTTGTATTTCCTATCATACACTAACTTCTATTTGTGTCTTAAAATGGGTTTTAAAAGATCCATGTAGATGCCAAAGCACCACTTATCATCAAAAAGCACCACTAATATGGACAGCATTTTTTTTTGTACGTAGTATGAAGTCCAAAGTTATGCTCTGTGGAACAGGTTGGTTAGTACATCTTTTTTAAGTGCTTTTTGCAAGACTGTGCTGTCACAACCTGGCTTAGAGGTGTATGACAAAAAAAATAAAAATAAAAATGGAAGATAACAAAATAAAACTAGTAATAGGCCAGTGAATGAAGTCACTGTTATAATTTTATTTTATACTAATATTGAATATTAAGGTACATTTAACCATGTAGACCAAACCAAACAAAAAGAGATGTGACAAATAGTGTGAAAAGAGAAGCCCATTACCCGTGCTAAACAGACCCCAGATCTTTAAAAAGGGGTTATAGTCCAACTCAAGTGTTCCCAATCAGTTTGCCTGCTGAACTTCAGCCAAAGGATCTGTTCCTGCAGCAGCGCCAACAATTAATTACCCATGAGAGCCGTCACAATGAGGTTACAAACGGACTCCACTCTATTGACCGGACTGACTGGAATTGAACTGTTAACAGCTAATTAGTGGTGATAATATAAGTATTCATCCACTCACCTGCCAACAATCTATTTCATAGTGCTTGTCCTTTTTGATTTTTTTGTCTTAAGAGGTTCTGCCAGATGGCTGTGTTTAACAAACCCAACACTACCATTAGGTTGCATTAGGGTGACAGTACTTTGAGAACGGTCTGCATGAAATAAAAAAAAACAACATACAAAGGTATTTAT